TCTCTCTCTCTCTCTCTCTCTCTCTCTCTCTCTCTCTCTCTCTCTCTCTCTCTCTCTCTCTCTCTCTCTCTCTCTCTCTCTCCCTCCCTCCTTGGACCACTCATTCTCACTTCCTGAATACACTCGCCGCTCCCTCTCACTAGCCTACTTGGCTATCGCAGACTTCTTCTTCCCGCTCAACTCTAGTTATGGCACTCTTCTTCCTCCGCCAACCTCGGACCGTCCAAGCCGTTGGTTGCACAAGCGCTACAGCAGAGCTTATGCAACATGCAAATTGACAAATGAGTCAAATGACCCGAACAGGTACCGTAGCATCTATAAACAGCAGCTCTTGATCCAGACTGGTAACAGTCCCCACGGCCTGTCGGCTGCAATTGTCAGTTCCGGAAGTCACCGGACTTTCCTTGGATGTTGCTGCGACACATGACTTTTGGGACTCTGGACTTCTCTGTAGGGTACCGGGCCAGACTTCGACCGACCTGTGGCTTTTCGACTTCTAGACCATACTGGACTCCACCGGACTCCTACAGACCTCTAGGACCCTGAGACTGGAACCTCCCGGGACCCTTGGGACTGAGACCAACTGTGACCCATGGGATCGGGACCAGATGGGACTCCGGGATCAGCACTCGGGACAGCGACAGAGCGTGAAATCCTTTCACCCACGAAGAACACAAAGAAATGCAGGCATAAATGAGTGGGCACAAGAGGAAAAGAACAGATTCACGTAAAGTTATGAGCCGCTGTTGCAATGCGCATAAAAGGTGTTATATAACTTATATTAAAAAAAAAGGAGGTACAGAGAAGCAGACAAGAATATGCAGAAGACAACTGTTAGACATCGCACGACATCGTTCCACATTGGAAACATTTGAGAAAGATAGAAACAGATGGCCATGGAAAGGAAGGACAAAAAGGAATAGAACCTGGTCAAGGGGGAGAAGCGGTGAGAGTGGTCCAGCGAAAAAGACCCCGTATCATCTGAGAGAACTAAGGAGTAAGGGAGGGAAGCCAACAACTGCGAGTAGCAGGGGTGGTGATTCTGCCATGGAAAGGAAGGCCAACACAGAATAACACCTGGTCAAGGTGGGGAGGTGGTGGGTGTGCTCCGGCGATTCTTGCCTTAAAAGTAACTGCCAACAATGCCCACGGCATGAGAAGGAAAGGGCACAGACACAAAGAGGGGGCGGGAGAGAGAGAGAGAGAGAGAGAGAGAGAGAGAGAGAGAGAGAGAGAGAGAGAGAGAGAGAGA